TCTAGCTCGAGCTACTGCTTTCTCTTCCTCATTAAGAAATCGCGCTTTGCTTGAGCTATCAGGAGGAAATAATACGTCACCGGCGCCATCAATATCGTCGGCAAACTTCTACAAGGAATAGTAGACGCCACGGAGCTAATCTCGATTTTCCAGACGTAATGCCATACGCCAGGGCACCGGCGAACGTGTTTGCGACGGGGGCAGCGGCAAGAAAGTAACCGCAGCGTAGCCCAAGTTCATGCCGACGGTAAAAAAATGAAAGTAAAAACGGAATCCCCGTGCTAAATCCAGCCTCTGCAGCCCCGAGGAAGAACCGTAGCGCCATCTCGCCGGCCCAGGATTGAACGGCAGCCTGACAAGTGGCAAACAGCCCCCTGAATTCTTTAGCAAGCACTTCCAGTTACTACCGCATCAGTCGCAAACTGACCAAGCAAAAACGACAATGGTCGCCCAAATATGTGGTGGCAGAATTTTCCACATAAGCCCTTGGAATTGGAACGTGATATACGAAATGTAAAAGATCGTCAAAAACCACGTGTATTGGGGCCCGTTAAGCTGGAGATCCTTGCCCATTCCCGCGATTCGAGCGTTCCCAATGTTTGTCCTGTCGAGGAAGCTCAGGAGATCTATTGCATATGGTCAGCTTCGGCGTCAAGGTGGTTGGAACAGGGAGTGTATCGCTAACGCTCCGTTCCAAAATAACATACATAAAGTTGACAGCAGCGTCATTACCCTCAAATCCAACTTCCGCACGATCCGCTTCTCAATTACCGGGTCAATTGAATCGCTCCTTGAATTTTCGACCGTACTTGGCGACGGACTTTCCTTCTCACTCGTCGGAGGGGCGCTTCCAGGCACATGTAAACTGGAATTCCCCATAGTAGTGACGTTTTGAATGCCTCTTCTGACTACCCAGTACTTTCTGCGTCCTAGATCTACCTAGGATGTTCCTGTCCAGCATGCTGAAAGGGAGATCCATCCAGTTCTAATAAACTACTGGAAATTAACCAATTATTGTTCCACTACATCAAAGCCAATGCTTAATTGCAGTTATTCCTAGGGAATGCTGGTCTCAAGCACGAACAGTGATGGCCCTATAAGCTCCAAGGATCGACACGCGACTGCAAACGGCTCATTGACGAACACCACACATGGTGCAAAAAGGCTGTTGTGAAACTTGGATACCTTCTGAGGGTGCCAGGTCAAGCTTTGAATAGAAGTAACCTTGTGTGCTGCCTATTGTCCATGTTCTTTGGAATGTTATTTTCCAAATACCTTTTTATCTTCTTTGGCACTCGACTCTGCATTACAGTGCAGCATATCTTTGTTAGTTCAATTGCTTTTTCAGCAATTTTTCAAGATAAACAATGAAGGGGCTTATCTAACTAAGGAGATTTGGGGGTCCAGAGTTGTGATAAACAAGGTTCCCATATTATACCATCAGGCAATTCTCATATTATCCTCTGGGGAATACCCTCATGTTTCGAAGCATGAACAGAAACACAAAGTCCCACTAGCTAATTGTGGACCACCCAATTGAGATCGGCACCGAAGTGGCCCGGCTCGAGAACAGCCTCGAAGCCCGCATCGAAAGGAGTGCAGGGCGCTTGCCGTTGGAGTGTGGGGACAAAGAAGTGTTATTTTACACAGGAATGTATTGCCAACTCAACGACATCCAGTACCCGCGCATGAATGACCTCACCTCTCGATACCTAAGGATGCAGTCTCATCTCAAGTCAGGAAATTGATACCGGGAACCTCAAACTCCGCGCATGTCGTGCAGTGATGTCGAAAAGTCTTCTTTTGAGTCACCTCAACTTCCCTTGTGTCAATGTGGGGAGTATGTGTCCGGATTGGGGCCTTTCCCCGGTCACAGACGGGTATTTGCAAGTATGAATGTGCTGGCGTATGTGTGCTTAATACAATTATCCAGCATGGCCACCGCACTTCACTATTCCATATTAAGGGAACCAGCACAGGAAGGCAAAAGGATTAGACTCTCTTCATGATTGAAATGAAGTGATCTTGAGGGACACTACATTTGCCTTTGTTCGCTGGATAATATGTAGATAACCACTAGTTATGTACGGGGGCCTTGATCTTCATAACTGAATAATCAGTCGCTCTATATCGAGTACCGAGGTTTGCTTTGAAGGTTTTTGTACATGTAACCACTGTAACTACATAAAAAGGTGAGTAAGTGCCCCTCGACAAATTCCGAATCTCACACCTGCTTCAATTGCAGACACACCAATTCTAACGCATGATTTAGTCATGTAACCACGATAACCCACGGTGAAACAACGCTTTAAAGCGGGTTACAGACGCAAGAGCCAAGCTTTCAATTAGCTTGCAAATTGGGTATGATTGCTATTGTCATGTCAGACCAATGTAGTGGGACAATCAGGTTCCACACGGTCAGATCTGTAAGATTCTCAAGTGTTGCAGCATGGGCGCTATGGGATTGTTGCCCTTTTTGTCCTATTAAAAAAAGAAGAAGAAGAAGAAGAAAAGAGAAAAAGAGAGAATGGGGAAATAATCCGCAGACAGGTGTGGCTTTATGGCCCTAACCTCAGTCTCCATATGAGAAGTGTGGCTGGCAAATAATTGTAAGCGGGTAGTGAGGTCCATTGATGCAGCTGCTCGCCATCATGCAGGTGTACTTGGGTCTCCAAACAAAGAAATGGGCATCCGGTCACGGTGACAATTCCTAATTAGACATGCGAGGATCACAGTTCCCAAATACTGGACTTGTCTGTACTAGAGATGTATAGAGCGGCCACCACAAGTTGCTATGTGGTCTTATAGTTCAGGTGGATCTTGTTGCTAACAAAGCTATCAACGTAGAAGTAGTACCTCTGCCCCATACTGTGTCCTACGAGCAAAAGAGACAACGGATTTTTTGTGAAACGACTAGTTTCAGTAGTTATTGATTAATAAAGTATCCTATCTATTATCCCAGGACTCATGCGGCCAGGCTTCCTGGAGCTTCCGTTGGCGGGCCTTCAGGTGTAACATACGCCTGGCAGGTGCGGAGTTAGTGATTTTCCACCATTGAGCAACAATAACCAGGACTGGGGGTAACTGTATACCTTTGTCATACCACCATCAACCACGAAATCGGAGCCATTCACAAAGCTACTCTCATCACTAGCAAGGAAAAGAACGGCCTGTGCTTGCTCAACGGCCTCGCCGAAGCGGCCGGTTGGAAAATGAATCTCACGTCTCATGCGCTTATGGGCATCGTCTCCCAGCCAATCTTGGAGAAGAGGGGTGCTACACGGCAAGGTTAGTAAAGTAAGATAATATGCGTAATCAGCAGTAGCGGCATACTTCAAAGGTGCGGGGCATAGAGAATTGAATCTAAACCCTTCTCTCGCGTGGACGATAGCTAACTCTCTTGTCATTGCTAGAACGGCGCCCTTGCTCGCAGTATATGCAAGCTGAGGAGTCGCGCTGCCAACCAACGCAACGACACTTGCGGTGTTGATTATACTGCCTTTTGTCTTCTTATGCCGTCTTAGGCTGAGTACAGCATGCTTACATCCGTACCACACACCCTTGACGTTGATATTGTGTGTCAAATCCCAGATCTTCTCCGCCGTGTCAATAGCATCGGCATCGTCGGCATGCATGATGCCGGCGTTGTTGAAAATAACGTCCAGTCCTCCCCAAGAGTCTAGCCTTTCGACCATTGCTTGGATGTCGGATTCCTTTGACACATCACACTTAACTGCTTCAACTTTGGGGGCGTTGGGGACGGCTGCTTTGACCTTGGCAACGGCCTTTTCAAGAGCTGGCTCAGAAATATCGGCCATTAGGACAGAGGCGCCTTCGCGGGCGAATAGGATGGTGGTTTCGAGCCCGATTCCACTGCAAGCCGTTGGTTAGTCGAGCTTTAACAATTTGATACGACGAAAGCGAACCTACCCTGCGGCACCCGTGACAATGGCGTTTTTGCCTTGAAGACGTCCTCGAGGAGCGGCCATGGTGTATGCGTGCTGTTCTTCAGTTCCGGAAGTTCAAGAAGCTATCGAATGGAGATTAGACAATGTGCAGGATATCGACCATGTATGAAAACGCTCCAAGGCCGCTACTTACGTATTTGTATGTTGCTCTGTTTCGTAGCAAACTTTATCAGCTGGTTTACTGTTTGGATTGAAGATGCCTCAGTCAAACACAAGTCGAGGAGGAGGAAAAGAAAGATTGAAAGGAGGACGCAAGGGCATGAAGGAGATCACAGAAATAACATGCCCGGCCGAGTGACCCATTGAGAACCAACAGCTATTATCTAATAGCTGATCCATAGTTCGTTTCCCCTCTGTGACGGACAGCTTTCTGCTATTCGCCATCGGGAGCGAAGCCGAAGCGTTAAGGTTAAAAGTGACCAAGATAGCAGCGGCTAACTATCCCACAAGCGTCCAAGGAGCATCAGCTGATCCCCAGTCGGTCCGTGGTTAGCGCCAACCTTGCTAGCTTTCCCGGACCGAAGCCGATCGGCTTGATGTTCCCCGTGACTTTCGTCCGATAAGAGAGATAAGAGCGGCTGTGACGCCAAAGCCAAGGAGCCTGGTTGCGTTCCCGCTTTTGGGCCCGCCGCAAAACCACCTCGGTCCCGCCAGCTCCTGGCTTTCCTGCCAGGGACGAAGCTAGATTTGTTTTTCAGCTTCGATTCTCTGGGGGCACTTTTGACTTTGCTTCTTTGCAAGAAAGCGGTTTGGATTTCGAGAGGTTCTCCATTATTTAGAAGCGGTTTTCCTCCAGAACACGGCGTTTTTTCTCCAAGCGACAGTGCCACCATCATGTTGGGAGACAGTGACCCCAAGGAGGTCACGCTTGATAACCTCGAGGCGACACTCAAGTACGATACCCAGGTCAAGCTCGCTGGAATCGACGCCGACGGGATCCTCCGCGGGAAACTGGTCTCCAAGAAGAAATTCGTCTCGATCGCAAAAGATGGCTTTGGGTTCTGCTCTGTTATCTTTGGGTGGGATATGCACGATCAGACATACTTCAAGGAGCTCGCCATTAGCAATAAAGAAAATGGGTATAGAGATATGGTCGCCATCCCAGATTTAAAGAGCTTCAGGAGAATACCTTGGGAGAGCAATGTGCCCTTTTTCCTTGTCGACTTTTATGACCCAGACACTCATGCCCCAATTTCTGCCTGTCCGCGCGGGCTCATGAAAACTGCTTGTGCTGGCATGGAAAAGCTGGGATACAAGGCTATGGCAGGAGGTATGTGCTGATCCGCCCGATTTTCGATCGTACCTATATCTAATCTTTTCCACATGAAGCGGAATATGAATTTTACCAGTTTCGCGTCCCGTCGAATGCAGATGAGGGAGAACGAAACTCCTCTGGGACAGCTAGATTTCTCAAAACAAACCCAGTCGCTGATCTGCCGCCGTTGACGGAAGGGATGTTCGGGTATAGTTTGACGAGGCCGGTTCATAACCAAGAATATTATTATAGGATATTCAATACATGCCAAACGTTCAAATGCGACATTGAAAGCTGGCATACGGAGAGTGGACCGGGAGTATTTGAAGCGGTTAGTCCAAAGCAGTAGATCTCAAGATGAACGCTGACAGTCGCATAAGGCCCTAGAGTTTGGTGAAATCAAGGAGATAGCGGACAGAGCTGGTTTGTTCAAGTAAGTCTTCACACAAGGCTTCTTTCTTAGGATTGTGATGGCTCAGAACTCTTTTTAGATACGTCGTCAAGGCCCTTGGTAGCAAGTATGGTATCACGCCTGCTTTCATGGCTAAGCCCGTTCATGGCCTTCCCGGAAACAGCGGCCATATGCATGTCTCTATCGTGTCCAAAGACGGGAAAAACCTCTTCTTCCGCGAACAGCCCGATCCCTCACCGCCTTATCCCGATGTCGCAAACCTCTCCGACCTTGGAAGATATTTTTTGGCGGGTGTCCTTGCCGGTCTCCCTGATATAATGCCTATCCTTGCCCCGACGATAAACTCCTATAAACGACTCGTGGAGAACTTCTGGGCACCTGTCACAGTTTCTTGGGGGTTGGAACATCGTGCTGCATCCATAAGACTGATAACGCCTCCGACATGCAGTCCAAAGGGCTCGCGACTTGAAATTCGTGTTCCCGGTGCCGATACAAACGCCCATTACGTCCTTGCGGCGATTCTTGCGCTTGGATGGCGAGGCGTAGAGAAGAAACTAGACATTCCCGTCCCGCCGCTGCCGCGCGGCGAGGATGTTGGTGGACAAAGTGACAATGGAGAACGACTCGCCAAATCTTTGAAAGAAGCCGTTATGAGGTTCATGGCGAAAGATAGCATTGCAAGGGAGGTGTTTGGCGACGAGTTTGTTGACCATTTTGGTGGGACGCGAGAGCATGAGGTCAAGCTCTGGGAGGAAGCGGTTACTGACTGGTAAGCTGTGATGTCTCGGTTTTGCCCACTCACTAACGGATTGCTGATTTTGACAAGGGAGGTGAAACGATACATTGAAACCGTATGATGTTTTTGGAAGGGATTACGATACCACGTAATTCCTCCTTTCGTATATACACTCGGGCGTATTCCCGATGATTTCGGCATTTAGTTGCATATGTAAAGCGGCTAACGACTATTTTGGATTGCGGCTCACTGTACCACATCGTAATTATAGATAACTACAAATGAACAGGCTGATCTAGTCTCCCTATTAATTATGAGGCTATTAAGCAACTCCGTATTACGAGCCTTGGTTATTATCCAGAAGCTCCAGTAGCTCAATAGCACCCCGCATTAAGTCAGCCACTAGTTACTTTGCGGACCTTTCTAGGCCGACGTCATCCAGGCTCAAGCTCAGTTTTACCGCGCCAGCGCGGCTATTCTGGCGCTAGCAAGGATGTCGAAATGTGGAGTTCATCTGGAGTAAAATGTTCATCAGGGGAACTCCGCTCTGGTGACTTACCCATACATCTTGCGAATACTAAACCCTCGTGCCCATGTCCTCCGTTTCAGGAGACCTTTTACGCCCTATAACTACGTGTATAAACCCCATAACTACGTGTATTTATACTTGCCTCGGCAAGAGACTACTCGAGGCAGACAAGGCAATTGAGATGCAGCCTTAATCAATTTGGTAAAGCTATATACCTACGTTGGTTTAAAGTAATAATATGGCTCTGCATCCGAATGAGATGATCTCAAGCACTAACAGTAAATTACGTCGATAGTTACCGGAGACTCATATTATATCAAAGCTGTATCGCGTGTAACGATTGAAGAACCGAATCATAGGCTTTACTCTAGACGGGACGATAATTCGAGAAGTGATATCACTCATAATATTCTTTCCCAGGTTTCAGAGCCAAAAGGTTCGAATTGTATGGATCCTCTTCCGCAGATTCCCTTGATGGTGTTTTGATATCGGACGCGTTGTTATGAAGTAATAATACGTCCTGTATGGTTTTTACTGGGTTAACACGCTAGTGTAGTTACCAAATGTTACGGAGTGCTTCGTTATCATTACCCAACCCGTCGCTCTTCTTCTTGGTTATTTGTAGTGACATGGCATGAAAAGAAGCAAAATCTGCTACGCTCGAGATTCGGCTGATGGTATCAGGTGTCCGATTGACTGATTATTGTCCAGAAATAAAACAGGAGATTTGCCAACACTGCTGTAACTAGTGGTTATCCAGAAAGTGCGCAAAGCAAGAATGGCGGCCAATATGAAATTCTCGCGAGCTGAGACATGCGATTAACGGAAGCTGTCAACGTACTTTCCAATGGAAAGGCGAAATTGATAACTAAAGGAGAGCGGCGCAAAGCGGGATATTAAAGCTAGAAATCGGACATCGATTTAGATGAAAGCAGAAAGCTGACGGGCGAAATAAGGGGAGAAAAAAGCATTTTGGGGCAATATAAGCAGGGGAAACACCGGAGAAATTGGTACATGGGAACTGAAAGAATAATTCGACACCGGGCAAGACAAAGGCTTCACAAAGTAATGGCAAACATAGGACAGAAATTACTAAAAGCGGCGATGAGAGGAAGTAACGGTTAAAGAAAAAAAAAGGTCTCATATAACGATAGCAAACCTATTCACCTCCAACACCTGTGACATAAAACCTTGGCAGACACACTCCAGCTTTCCCTCAAAAACTACTTCGCAAAATGGAACTGAAAAGTTCATAAAGGCCCTAACGCTCAAGTGATACGGAAGGCATCGAAGATGACTATAAAGAGTTAGAAAGGATAGACGCGAGGTCCTGGGATAGTCATACCTTCCGAGCCGCGACGACACCCACTTCCAATCCACATTACAGTGTTTACAAACGAGTATCGCTCATCTCCAGTTTCCATGGATATGTCGACACGGTATTTGTAAGTGCTGGGGTTGATTGTATCTGCAACTGACGGGTCTTGGAGTTTTTCGAGCACTTCTTTCGCTCCGGTTAGCCAGCCATTTGTTTTAACAGCAATGTACGCGTGGGGGGTCATCCGCTGTTTGCAAGAGGAAAGTAGACCTAA